AGAACAGAAACTTTTCTTATTACCGGAGAGAGTGGTAGAATAGCAGGCAGCTAAGTCTCTGTCTATCTCTGTCTCTCTCTCAGCGGTGTAGCTGAGTCCCCAGTGTACTCAGGGTCTTCAGTAACTCTGACTGAAGTTCAGAAGGGTTAGGTAGTATACTCAGGAGGAAGGGGGGAGACAAGAGGAAGAGGAGGATGGAGGGTTAAGTAGGATTGGAACAGTGGCAGTTTTAAAACAGAACTTTAAATCTCCACCTACGAGAGAGAGAGAGAGAGAAGGAGGACAATGGCGTCATGTGGCGTGCCGTTATCTTCAGGTCTCTGAAAGGCTGGAGACGAGAGGATGAGAATAAAAAGAAGCTTGAAGAAGGGCATAAATGTGATAACAGCTGTAGGCTGTATAATCTATGCTGCTTTTCAGGGAGGTATGGAAAAAAAAGTCACATTTTTGCGACCTTCAGATTTTAAGTTCAGCGAAATGCTTCTCACTCACAACAACACCAAATGAAATGGAAGAGGATTTGCAAGATGGATGGATGAATGGATGAGTGGATGGCTGGATTGGCAGATAGAGAAACAAACACAGCAAAAGAACAAACAGATCTCAGAAGCTTAGGTTTTGAATGAATCCTGTGCACCAGACCATTAGTAGTCAGTAATCTTCATGGTTTTTTGTTGTCAAGGACGATAATATTGTCCATCATTTGAGGTCCCAGTCAAGATACATTTTGAAAAAAAAAAAAACCTGCAATGTAGATGTAGGATTCATCACTCTCATAGCCACTCCATCAACTGCCAGAGAAAAGGATGGAGTGGTTAACCTTCAAAATGTGACAAATTCTATGTCAGATGCATTATTTATCTTAATAATGATAGGCTTAATTTAGCACCTCTCCAACCAACCCACAAAACTTAGAGATGTTACAGTGTTTGTGTTCCATCTTTGATCATTCAAACAGCCAAACAACGGTTTTCCCATTATGTTCTCGGGAATTTAGAGATGACACCATGTCTTAATTTTACAGAGGTTGCGCCAGACGCTCTTTCTGTCAGTGGATGACATTCACTGCAATTCCAAACAACATATTAATTTTCAGTGCTATGAAATGTCAGTCAGGCCTTGTTTGTCTTCTACCTTAACTGTACTGGACTGTGTTGTGGACCACTAACTCCCCCTACTGGCCATCTAGGGTGGAAGACACTCATGTAGCATCTGGGGAGAGATTACTGTAAGACCCAGGATACATGGACTTAATTTTGGTACAAAATTGAATTTCATCAATAAAGACGCCACGCTGAAATGATTTCTAATTTATTTTTCATGATGTTGGGGGAAAATCTAAATTAAAGCTTTCACAAAATGTTCCTTTTCAAGCCAAAAGAACCAAAAGCCAAAGACTCAACTGTTTTATTAGTTTTTGTATTTTAAACTGCAGTACACTCATGCATGTGCCCCTACCTCCACAACAGCTATCTTACTCTGTAGACTGTATAAAGAAAATCTCCATACTCCTGCCCACTCTTCTGCTTCTTCCTTTACTGCAGTTTGAGCAAAAAGTTAGAAAGAATGATACGGACCCTCAGACCACAGCCCACCCTACCACCACCACCACCTCACCTCTCCTGCAACTCATCTCTTCACCCCCACACACATGAAAAGACTGATCCTTCCATGCCACTGTTAATGGCGGGGACATTATTCATCTCTCCAGCCAATTTGAGCTCCTTTTCTTTCAGGAATAGAGGCACGAGGGGTTGAGGGGAGTCAGCGAAGAGTATTAAATATGTAGAGGAAGATGGACAATGGTGCGGCAGAATAAAGAGGGGCAGGAGAGGTGGGAATGAAGAAGGACAGGAGGTGCGTGGTGTCGGTGTCGAGGCAGAGTTAGTTAGGGAGAAAATGTGAGGGAAAGAGCAAGGAAGGAGAAGTGGCTTTGCCTGTTTGATGGGTGTTTGTGAGCTCTCAGTTTTGACCTTTCAAGAGGGACGCCACTTTTACAATGTGTGACAGCCTTTATTCAACCCTTTTTAACACTCAACTGAGATCGACTATAGATCAAATTAGAATGGTTCTAAACTGGAACCCCATGTATGTAAACACACAAAGATCTTATAAAAATGGAAATAACTTCACCTCTAAAACTTAAGAGTTAAGAGTCAAAAACTTTAGGACAAACTTGAACCTGCTGTGTGAATTATAGAGCTAAAATCAATGTTGTGTCATCGTGCCATCTTCATTAGAGGCTTTTTGATAGTGGGCCACTGGGTCCTACAGGAGTACTATGCCTGCAAAGGCTATAAAAAGTGTCTCCAATCTCCATCCATGTGGTAAAAGCCAGTATTTTTGGTGTGACTTCCAGGCTGCCTGTCAGGGAGAATGTACAGTGAGTGGCCGGGGCAGAAGAGATCATAAAGCAGACTGTGATTGACGGTATCTTAATGGAGGAGGACGGATCAATAGGTAATATCAGCAGGTTTTAATTCAAGGCAACACACATAAACCTTTACCAACTTCACAATGTCACTCAGTGTTCATAAAAGTTTTCTTCACATCCCCTCGGACAAAAAGAGATAAATCCATCAAAAAGTCGTCTCAGTTTTATAGTCCCCCCTCCCTCCTCTCTTCTTTCCCTTCTTTCATCCCCCCCTCATCTCCATTTTGATGTCTGTCTATTAGCAGAGGGTGAGGCCTTTCCTGCTCTCACATCCAGGGGCTAAATTAGCTCAATCAGCCCCCTTTCACCTCTCTTCCGTGGGCTTCAAGCTGAGTGACACACTGTTCCCCTGGGAGGGAGGGAGAAAAGGAGGGAGGAGTCATACACACACACACACACACACCGAGCCCAGCGGCCAGAAGAAGACTATGGAGGGAGGAAGGAGGGAGGGGCAGGTAGACGGAGAAATTGGGGTGAGGAGGAGAAAGGATGAAAAGGAGGATTGGTCTGAGGAGAGAATGAAGCTTCATTTTTCCCTGCTTCGATAGAGGATCCATCCTTAGTTCTGAATGGAGCTCCTTGTTCGCTGCTTGTTAAACATTAAGAAAAACCTCAGTGATTATTTTACTTCTCCCTCTTCCTCACCCCTCTGCGGGGCACAGTGGTGCTCAAGATGCCGTGCCAAACCCACTTCAAGAGGCCCAACCATCAGAAAGAGGTGATGAGTGTCTCTTAGTGTGTCTCCCCTCAATACACCCCCAGCTCTCCATGCCAGGGCCTAACTCTGCGTTCCTGTGCCAACATCTCTTAAATTGCACCTTCATGTTTGATTTGTCTCAACCCTTTCCCTCTCTCCCTCTTACTAAACAGCCACCCAAGTATCTGTGGAAGTGCAAGGCAGGCACTTCTGCTGCGGTAATAGCAGTGCGTGTATGTGTGTTGGGGGGGAGATGGGCAAAAGGTGGTGATCGGAGTGAGCCATAAGATCTACTCCTTGCAGCTCTACAGGGATTTATTAGACTGGGGAGTACATTAGCATCATAAAGACCCTGGAGAATGGGCCTGTGGATGGGCTGCAGATACCACCACTACACTTAAACATGCTCTGCGGCATCAGTCAGTGTGTGTGTGCGTATGTGTGTGTGTGTATGTGTGTGGATGAGGAATAAGATTACCCCGCTTTAACTTAAGAAAGGCTGTTAGATGGTTTATGGATCATCCTGAAGCAGCCCTGGACTAATACATCAGGAAATTATGGAAAGAGCTGCAAAAGAGAAGAAAAGAGGCCAAAAAAAGGAGGCAGGTGAAATCTGAAGGCCACCACCTCTGAGAAAATGTACCAAATTTGGCATTAATATATTTCAGTTGTCAAATGCTTTATATTTTCTTGTTAAATGTATGTAGGGGGAATGCTGTCCTGCCATGCTGAGATTTTATGAAAATGTTTTAATTTAGCAGGGCAAAGAAAGGTAATCAATAACCCAATCAATAGGTAACCGTTGCTGCTGTTTTCGGCATAAAAAATCAGCATCAGTTAACTCTGCTTTCTATTTGTGAACAAGAAAAAAATAACATTGCGTTAGTTAATACTTAAGTAGTATTTAAAAGAGGTTAACTGCATGGCAGATCAGTGACTGTGACTGCAGCTGTGACAGTAATAGCACGGAAGAGAGTTGAAGAGGCACTGGGACGGTCTTCTGCAATATAGATCTCTGGTGCTCCCTGGTGGACATATAATGTAACATCATTTATCAGGTTTATCTATCAGTTTTCTGTCTACGCCGAGTATAAGATAGTGAGACACAAACACTAGCTTAACATTTTATGTGTAATAAGAGAACTTACAGTAAATATCTATTTTTCAACTACATTACTTCTTTTTAAATGCACTGTCACAAAATCTATCTCAGAAGAGCCACATTTCCCATTGAGCGTTTTAAATGTATTTACCTCAAAACTAACAATTAATAGCCCGGGCTTTTATTTGTTTCAATCACTGAACTCAACCTGCCTATTTGCAACAGGCGTGGAATTCCTTTTGCACAAAACTCTTGCTTAGCAAAGATGGGAAAAACTATAAAATTGTTTTTTTGTTGTTTTAAATAGGCTAATGAATAACGTATTAATTATAAATCATTCATTTGATGCTTTAGTACACATGGTTCCAAAAAAAAGGAATTTTCTTCATATACATGTGCATTTTTTTTTCTCCTTTCCTTAGGAGAACATTGCATTGACTTGCATTAATTCCCAGGAGACTCATACTAACCTCAAAAAGTCTAATCTATGTATACGCAGGTTTAAACTCAGAACCTGAATATGAAAACAGCCATCTCGTGTCAAACTGTGTTCACAGTGAGGGTCCATGTAACAAAAACCAAAACACATTTTACAGTGGAGGGAGACTCTATTTCTTGTGGGGACCAGATTTTTTTGTCCCGAAACAGAAGCAGAGTCGCCCACAATGTGTTTCCACTCAGTTAAGACACACACAGACACAGACACAGACACAGACACACACATTTCTCAAGAAATATCAATAAAGAAAACACTAAAAGCCAATGAATGGATTCTGGTAAAACATTGTATATTCTCAGTAAAATCAGAACCACTTTTCCCTGTGTAGTTTGCTCTGCAGAGCGCCCTCTAGTGGAAGAGTAGAGGAGGCCTGAGCAGTTCTTTGGAGTGTTGGCTGGGTGAGTACAACAGTCAAACTGTGGCTGATGGGGAAAAGGCACAACACTGGCAGACTCAAACACAGAGTCAGTGCTACAACACCATGGCAACCACAACTCCTCGGCTCAGAGTTTATGTGAAGTCAGTTGTCTTCCAGTCTCCATGGAAACCAAAGTTAGGGAGGGAGGAGGCATGGCGGAAAAACGCCGACCTGCTTTAGCCTGACCAGAACCACTGGTAAAGCTTACATTCATAAAATTAGCAATTTGAATTCAATCAAATCAAAGAATCACCTTTCATCTATGTCTGGCTCCAAATTTCAAAGGTAAAACAAAGAGAAAAATAAAATCCCAATCATATAAAAATGGCATCAAAAATGTACATAATCTCTTCATCTCTTTAAAGTCAGTTGAAATCTGGAAGTTCACAAACAGCTTCCCCACTCCTTCCCCAATAAAACATTGGTGGCTTTAATGCCTTTATAGTGTGCTTACTGAAAATGGCTCTGAGAAAAAAGGGTTGTTTTGGAATAAAATTGAAACAGAACTAAAACAACAAATACAAATACAATACATTTAAGTGGCTTAGTGGCATATAACATTTGAAATAAATCTTATTCCATAATTCTTCCATGTACAAAGTCAAAACAATAATATAGTTTCCAGTGCTTTGGGAGATAAAATAAACAACAAACTATATAGTAAAGAAAACAACCACTTCTTTAAATCAAAGAAAAAATCACCATCAAAGTATTTTTTCTACCTTTATCGGTACTGATCATAAGCTATATCAAATCAAAGCCAAGCCCCAGGTTTACCACAGCAGAGATACAACTCAGGTCCACCTCAGCCTGCCCAATCAACCATCACTGTGACAACTGTAGCCAGTGGGATAACAGATTCCCTTTACTGTAAGTGGCAGCTTGAGCAGAAGACCTGCGTTCTACCTCTAGAGATGGCAGCTTCACTCGACACGTCTGGGGAGAGACTGTAGCACAGGAGACTTGTTAACGTGTTGATCTGAAAACCGCCTCAAGGCTGCGCTGTATGTATTGTATGTGTGTGTGAGCACAATTATGCATATGCGTGTTTTAGGTGAGCATTTACACGTTTAATGCATGCCTGTTTGTGAACCGAGTGAGCGCGTGAATGCATGCGTGTGCTAATGCTGTGCTTTTACAGTGAAGATTACACTACTTCTGCTGTCAGCCGAGACAAACTATCTATCTCTCCAGTATTAAACCCCGTCACTATGTCTTTCCTTCCCCTGGGCTTCTCATACAAGTTCGGCCCCACAAAGTCAGTTAGTGAGAGAAAAATAAAACCTTTACCTCCTGCAACAACAAAGGTATAGTTGGTACAGAAGCAAACTCTCAAGCATTTACAGGCATAATTGAAGTTGATGCTAAGCCTAAACCCTGCTTGTGACTTCTGACCTATATAAACATACTTTTGAAGAGCAGCAGCTGCAAAAATCAAAAGGCACATTGATAGGGGTTATGAGCCTGACACTGCTCAGGTTAACATCTGCTTCTACTTAAAAATGATCCTGCTTGTGTATTCTTTTACAGTACCTGAGTATTCTGACACCTCACAGATTTGGATGACACACTGTTTTTTGAAGGCTATCAAATGGTTTTCTCTACTCTCTCACCAAGGTCAACACACTTCACAGGGTCTTCTTCGGGTAAAGGTCACGTCGGAGTCAAGTGTCAAACATGTAAAAACTGGCAGACTGCAGTGTGTGTGCATGTGTACTTGAGTAGACAACAATTACAGCTAGACGTGGGGTAGATAAATGGATAAATGAAAAGGCTGTCTGCCTCCTACAGGAAAAGTGTCCATCCAGGGAGTTTTAAAAAAGTTCTTAAAATGTGGACACTTTAAGAATACACCTTAGCTTAGCAGGATAACACAGATCATTGTCAAACACCAAACAGCTTGTGCTAGAGGCAGAAGCAAACTGTGGAATAACAGATTGAGGAACACAATAATGTGACTGGACTGCATCCCCATTGTGTAAATTATGCATGCAGGACCATAAAGCTATTTCCATTTTATTCACTATCGTTCATTCAATCATTTATGGATGCTAAAAGAGGTTGATGTAGGGAGAAAATAACCTGTCCTCTATCTAAGTGAGACAATGCACTTGGTTTTCCTTGTATCTCATAACTTAAATCTAATTAACTGCTGGTTTTGTCCCTTGTTCAATTATGATTCAGAACCACCTTTATGGAAACAAGGCCAAGTGTGCTATATAACTCCTGACCTGGCAGTGTTGGTTCACCCCTTGTAAATGTTCTGTCTGTTGGGCAAAGTTTAAAGCTGCTCAGTTTATCTCACATGCACTGTGTGTGTGTGTGTGTGTGTTTTGTGTGTGTGTGTGTGTGTGTGTGTGTGTCTGTGTGCACGCGTGCGTGTGCATGTGTGTGTGTGTGTGTAAACGTTTGCACTATACAGAATATTTTCAACTGTGCAAGTGCTGTGTACCGTCTTTTGCTCTTGCCATTAATGGGAGACAATCGTACCATAAATGAGTGTCATCTGTGTAAGTTCAAATTGTGTGATGTGAAATTATGTCATGTCTGGTGGCTGATTCCTTTCTGTTTGTATGTGCTTTAAATGTGTTGTGCCGATGTACTATGACATTTTTTACCGCAACCTCTCTGAAACCGCTGCATGTGCTTGTGCTTGTGTGAGTGAACGTGTGTGTGTGTACGCATGTGTCTACAGTATGTCTCCGTCCTCTATGCTGAAGCTGGACCTGCGGCTTGAGTCCACCGAGGCTTCGGGGGACATCGCAGAGAGCAGCGGGTCTCCACCCATAGGGGACAAGGGCTCGTCCATCATCAGGAAGCCCAGCTCGCCTCTCCTCCCTTGGACGTCCATTCCGCCCAAGTCGCCTAGCCCCGACATGCCATCTGAGAAGCCAGGTATCCCATCACACAAGTCCAGCGACTGGGTAAAGTCAAAGGGCTGGGAGCTGCCTACAGATGGGAACTGGATGGGTGGCTGAGGCTGCAGGTGGTGGGGGAGTGGTGGCAGCTGACTGGGCTGGGGCTGATTCTGGCCCTGGTGGGGGAGGTGGGTCTGTGGGAGGAAGTGGTGCTGCTGGGCCTGAAGATGACCCTGGTTCTGGGGTAAGTGCTGGGGCTGGTGGTGGGCTTGTAACTGGGAGTGAGAGAGGTTCTCCTCTGGGCTGGTTTCTTGTTTTATATAAGGAGCCATCAGGTCATTAGGGTTCAGGCCAGAGGGGGAGTTGTTGGGCAGGCCATGCAGACGAGCCTGCATCTCTAATTCCTGTGGAGAGCGGGCGGAGGGCAACATGCAACACTCAGTATCAATGCATTTGCTGTGATTATGTTTCTATGCATGTATGTGTGTGTCTCACCTGGATGCGTAGCAACAGCTGTTTGTTGGCCATCTCCATCCTTTTGAAGTTGTTCTCCACCTCTCTGGTCCTCTGAACATCCTTCTGCATGCGTTTGATGTACTCTACAGACGCCCGCAATATAGTGCCTTTGTTCCAGCGCACGTCACTATGCACACAGTAAAGTACAAACATACAATTTCTGCAGGTAAGTAACTGGCAGTAACAGATTCAAATATTTTATCTATACTGAAGATACATACAGCAAAAGCAACTCACAGGTCATTGGTTTTGGGGATCATGGTGCCCAGTTCTTTGATACGATCATTGATGTTGAATCTCCTCCTCCTTTCAACTATTTAAGAGGAAAGGGGAGATGAAATAGGAAGAGACAAACGAAAAGACATGATGAGGACAATAGTACAGAGAACTCACAGACATGAAAGATGAAACAAAAAAGAACTTGTTCAAGGCAGATTGTGGCTTTTGGAACCACAAAACTAAATTCTACGCACAAGTACATGTATGTATAGCATCGACACAAACAGTAAACATTCAATTCAATTCAATTTTATTTGTATAGCGTCAAATCATAACAAAAGTTGTCTCAGGACACTTTTCAAAATAGAGCAGGTCTAGACCGTAACATCAGATAGAAAGGGTTTAATTCTGCAGCTGATGAGTTGGCACTGGATATATACAGTAAAAAAGTAAAAGGGAGAAACACACACACACACACACACACACACACACACACACACACACAGTCACAGGCAATTAAACCTAAGTGCTAGAACAGCAGAAATGACCAGGTTAACCATCCACCCACTTGTTGCACTATGTCAGCTAAATCAGCACAAGACTACATTTTTTTGCGAGAGACAGATTATGTGTGTGTGTGTGTGTGTGTGTGTGTGTGTGTGTGTGTGTGTGTGTGTGTGCGCGCAAGTGTGCAAGTGTGCAAGTGTTTCTAAGGACATGTACAGTATAAAGGGCAGAAAGTAGAAAAGAGCATTCATCACTTGGGTAAAGCTGCATGCTGAGGGAAAGACTCACTCAGATTGTGGTTGTCTTTCTTCTGTCTCTCCTTGGCCAGCGCACGGGCTTCTGCATCTTTCCAATAACAAAAAGTGATTAACTAATGGCTGAGACTGTGTCATGTATCAGAGACAGACAGGACAGTGTAAGACAGCTAATGTTTTACATTCACTCAATGACAAACAGTCTTTTATATAACTTAGTAACAGCTTAATAGTTTGACTGAGTTTAGATAATTTGTTTCCTGGCAATCAAAATGTTACTACAAAGTGTAGAACTTTGACTTTCGCACCTGACAGTTCTCGTTTGATGGTCAGGTTGGCAGGACAGGAGTTACTGGTCATTGCTATGGCCGGCCCCTTCATTCCAGGACCTGTGTACACATCCAGGTGACTGCTAGAAAGGGGGAGCTGGGGAGGACACACACAGCCACACATACACACAACAAACATACACATTTAGAAAACCAACAATCTACAAATGAAATTTGCTAAAAAATTACTTCATTATGTCATATATAGACGACTGCAGTTCATAGATCTCTGTGACACAAATGAACAAGCAAGAAGTTAAGAAGCATTTTCGAATGCCTCCATGCAACGACATCTTAGACCACATTAGAGAATGAAGAAATCAGTTGGTTGTGAATGAAATTTTTCAAAAGCACTTAGATGTTCAAGAGTGATGCTCTAGTTATAACAAAGTGAAAACCCTAAAAACATCATGCAGAGAATATAATGAACACAGTGGCTAGTTTCACTGGTGTTAAATCTAAATTATTTCAATGTTTCCTACTCATTTACAGATCCTTACACCTTTATAAGTACCTCATGTTAAGTGTGCTGTAAAGAACAGATAGCAGGAGATAATGCAACAATATCACACCTAAGGACAGCATGCCAAACACACAGCAATGATTGACTCTCATCCTATCTATCTTATCTCTGTTTATGGCTTGATCCTCTCCTCAGCCTTCTCCTGCACCTAAACTCACAGTAGTAGACAGGTCTTCTACCTCTTGCACTTTAGACGTTGCACAACAGCTGTGATATAGTTTTGTATGGACTCCTAAAAAGACATGATTTCCTTTTAATTGTATTGCATAGTTTGAGTGTGATGGACTTTTTATGCCTCGTTACAAATCGCGTCGTACTCCCTGAGGCGAGGGCAAATGTGACGCTGCTAATGAGGCCTGAGAGATAAAGAACTTACAGGAAGAGATAACCTTATCTGCTGGCTACTGTGTGAGCTGTGAGATCAACCGCATTCACACGCATAAATACACACAGACCTCCAAAGGCTCACTTCTGTATGTAAATGATACGACATCTCAGAAAACATCTAAACAATTCAGAGCTGAAGTATAAATCTTATCTAGTGAGGAGGAAATTATATTGTTGTGGTTCACAGCTGTGCCACTAGTTGATTCACATTCACATTCATAGACATAATATTTAATATTAATTGTGATTTTCAGTTGACATTCTACTACTACTAATACTTCAAACATCATTTGGAGAAAAAAAATCTGACATATGTAATGCTATCTACTGTAAGCCCTGTTATCACTGTTTTCTGCTGCTCAATCAAAAACAGTTTAAAATAAACTCCAATTCCCAGCCTCCACCAAGATTCTGCACTGACCTCCCATGTCCTGGCCAGGCAGCCTACCTTCTCACCATGCCCCTATCCAATGAGAACACATCTAATTCAATTGAACGAGCAAGCGTGACCGGGATTCAGTATTTCTCAGTGTAGCCATCCACACACACACACACACACACACACACACACACACACACACACACACACACACACACACACACACACACACACACACACACACACACACACACTTAAGAGACGAACTGTTCGCTTGTGCCTGGTATTCAGTGGCGCTTTTACTAAACTTTGAGATTCCAAGAATTCCATGGAGTTTGCCGCTTTAATCCCCATCAGGATTAGCAGGTGAGTTTTACTCACTAGTCTGCCAGTTGGGAATGAGGCTGAGTTCTCTTTCCAGTGTATTCTAACACAAAACACTTGTATGTTCTGAAAATGCAGCATTATTAATATATTGATCTGTGCTTTAAGCTTCTCTCACTTCTGGGTTTACACACACTGATCACCCTCAGGGTTGATCAGTCACTTAGATCTAATCAATCAGTGTGATGTTGTAAGTACACACACACACACACACACACACACACACACAAATACATGCATGCAGACACACTCACACTGATTAGATCAACCACAGCGGACATACTATGAGATAAACCTACTGGCCTTCCCTTTTTCTCTCTCTCTCTCTTTGATGTTGAGCCCCAACTTGACGCTCAACATCAACTCAAACAAGAATGCAAGAATTCTGATTTCAGTTCTGCAGAACAACCCATCACATGCACAAAAAAGGTTCTAAAAATGAAAACCTTTCCCACCCCAACCCCCTCTGCTGTAGCTCATTTTATAATCAGGGACCTGTGGCTGGGAGTTAAGAGCCGTCACTGCATCCGTTAAAACTGTGGTTCACTCAGAGCGAAAAGCTAAACTCCTATAAGACTAACCAAAGTCATATTGAACAAACTTCAGTGTCTTACCAGCTGAATCTGATCTCCTTCAATAACTTCCACAATGGCATACGTCTTACTCATCTCCTTCATCCTCTACTCCTTCCCTCACAAGGCTGGTGTTCTTTCTTCTTCTCTCCCAGGCACCAGCAGCACATCTAGCTCTCTCTCTGGCACTGCCACCCCTCTCCTGTGAGACTGACCTCAGCAGCACCTATCCCGTCTTTCTTCTACTTCAACCAAACAAGAGTGAACTTTCCCCTAACTGGACTTTCAGCCTGTTTTCCCCTTGCACAAATTGCCCTCATCCCCCCTTTTCCCTCCTCCCTTCTTTTCCTCCCCCTCTCCTTCTCTCTCTCTCTCTCTCTCTCTCTCTCTGAATGTCTTGTAAACAAGTTGAACTCTAACTGCTGGCAGTTTAATTGTTAATTTTCTGAGTTTGTTCCCTCAAACACAAAGCACGGTACAGTCTTCGTCTGGCATGTCTTCCCTTCAGTTTCTAACTACATCCAGCATGATTTAGGGATGGAATGTTTAGTGTTTAAGTCAATTATACACTTTTACATGTGTGTATGTGAGTTTGTGCATGTGTTTGTGTATATGGGTGCATCAACACAGTGCCTAGACTAGTGCCTCCTATGAGGACATACAAGAACTAGACTGACAACCAAGAAAGCAGCTAAATTACTACTACTCATTGTGGTTTAACTGGACTAACAACTACACAAACACTGTCACCATCCCTAATAACAGCACCACAAACTAGCATTAACAATAAGTGAGAGGGTGTCACAGACAGAGAAATATCAAATAGATGCAGGAACAGTGATTACAGGAACTACTGAAAAGCCAATGTCTGAGTACTGATGACTCTGCAAATCCAACACAATGACTCATTTAGGGCAGACTGGGCCCAAAATATAACCTGAAGTGGATTATGGTTTCAGACAACTACATTTTCAGTGGATTCAACGTTAGATAATTCTAGAGTGGTATTTTCAAGGTGTATAAAACATGTGAACCAACACAGAACATGTATGTAGTATGTACCTAATGTATTCCTTATAAAATATATTACCATACAAACAGTGCAAAACAATGAGTAAATTAGTCATTCTGTCTACTAAAAAATATATAAAACTATTATTTTCCTTAAAACAATTATTAGTTGTTAACTGGTCGGTTTATTAGACTAAATAAGATCAATAGCTGAATTGCACCAGATACTAAAATCATCTCATACTACTGGAACAATACTTTACTTATAAAAGAGTATTGCATGTTGCTGTTGTTCTAAGGATGGATAAGTTACCACAAAATAATAGGTCAAGTAAAGCCAATTTGCCTTTACAATTGCTACAGCATATGATGGATGACCCAACGTCCTTTAGACCTTCAGTTCAAATAGGAAATAAATCCCCCCCAAAAAATATTTAACTTGAAATATGCAGGACATTTGTGGTAATTTAACCTAAAATACAAGTACAAAGTACATTAGTCGTATAAAAGACAAAATCACACCTTGTGGGTGGGTTGGCTCCACTTACTGTGTTTGGCATCTGGACAGGGTCAATGTATCCCTGAATGTCATCGTAATTGGACTGCATGCTGATGATGTCATCAATTACCTCATCCATCTGAAAAAAAAAAAAAAAAAAAGGGGAAGAGTGTTAGTTGTGATTATGACATTCAAACAACTATTATGTTTAACTTTAAGACAAAAAATGCACCTAAACTACATTTCCATGTTCAGCAAACACCACACAGAGACAAATGTCACTACTCGTAGCACCTGAAACGTGATGGCATGTAGGCCACCAGGTGAACTCGCCTGCAGGTGCATGTCTCACTCAAGAGTTGACTTCTATGTCATGGAGGCTAACTCGAAAGACAGACAGACTTAAAGAAGAGAGTTAGAGACTTGAAGGAGGAGGGGGAGGAGAGTTGGTCAAAGTCTGCATGGTTCAAAGGGCCTTAAATTCTGCTGTCACTTGTTAAGCTGTAATTACTCCTGCAAGACCATAATGGAGCATTTAAATTCCAATGATAGCCACTCTCAGTTATTGCAAGTTAGTCAACACATTCATCCATTCACCTACTCTATGCACGACACATTAACACCACTGCGTTTACATATGCTGCTCCAGCCTACCAAGGACCAATTAAATCATTATGAGGCTTTCATAAAATGTGGAGATAATGTCACTTTGGGGATAATATTCAATCCCCATAATTTTATATAGGAGTGTAATTAAGTCATATTTTATGGTTATTTGTTCAATCTGGTTCTTTTTAAAATGTACTTTATAACATGACCAGGAATGAATGTTTATGGGTTTATGTTCATGCCACTATCTGCCCCCGCTTGCAAGGCGTCTACCTCCTTCTCGTGGCTGGAGCCAATGTTGAGCATGGCCATGGGGCTGTTGGGGGCGCTGTTTCCAGACATAAGCTGCTCGGTGCGCATGTGTGGGGAGTGGAGGGGTGGGGGGGCAGACGCTGAACCTCCTGTAGGTCCCATGTTTGTGGGAGGAGAGGGCGGCACCAGCCCTGCTACTGCATGGACCGTCTGCAGACAGAGAAAGAGGGTGATGGTGGTGTTAATGACATAGATAAATGTACTACAGTACTATTTGAACAGTAAAGAAACAGAAAAACAGGCCATATATACATAGGGTATATCTAATGTGAGACAGACTGACATAAATATATACAGAACAAAAAGGTCTCCAGAAAAGTACCTGTTTGGTGGCATAGGTGGTGGACAGGTATTCTTTCACCTGTTGCTTCAGAGACTGACGGATGTGGTAGTCTGTAGGATTCTCAAGGTGGGTCTGTACCTGTTTTAGAGATGGACGGTGAAAGGATGTTTCATTTTTCTTATTCCATTATCAATTTTGCACATTCATCCAATTCTTTGTGGAATGTTTGGTGGAAACACATTATATCAGCATTTATAGTGGCAATTTATTTTAAATGCACAACCTGTGATCCAAATGTAAACAAAAGGACTGAAACCTGATGCTACTCCAAAACTGACATGCATGTTAATACATAAATAAATTACAGAATTGTAAAAACACAGATACATACATAACATCTTAAACTGGAAGTTAAAAAAATATCTGAGCAAAAAATAAACAAACAAATAATGACCATAACTGATTTGTTTTGTAAGTCAGATTATTATATACAACAATTTTGGATAAATCAAGATTTTCCTCGTTATCAAGGGGGAAAGCTGCCATGTTCTGTGCTAGATGCTATATTTTGCTAGATTTTACCTCAAGTAAAAGATGCACTTGCATAAGCTTAAAGGGAGGCAGCTTTAAGTGTAAGCCAGCAAAGACAGCACAGTTTTACAACAATAGAATCAACTTTATTGTCACGTATACAGTCATACAATACAACTTATAATGAAATTTGGCTGTAGATACAGGCAGAAGAACACCCCATTATCTCTATCCCATAAACACAGTAGAGAGCAGGCCTGCTCCCCATTACTCCAGAAAAAGACCCCTCAAAAACTCATCAGCACTCCAACCACCCTCTGTTTTTTAACCAACAGCAGGATTATATCAACTCAACCAGAAACTTTTCAATGAATATGTTTTTACACCTTCATGCTACTTTGTGTACACATGTGTTTTTTATAGCAAATCTTCGGATAAATACACATATTTGGCTGTCAGCTTTAAATGTGTTCGGGTCTCATGAGTCAGAGGAACAACTATTCAGTCATAACTATTCAACCTATTTTCCCCAGCTCTGTCAGTACAGATGAAGTCTAAAGATATATAGTGAAGGAGGTATGACTGATGGACAGACAGCCTACCTTATCTCCAAAATGAAAGGAAAGACACTGACAACTCTAAACACCCACACACACGCATGCACACAGAGTAAACTATTGATACAGCAAATTGCCTCACGCAGTTACCAGTTCATACAAACTGTACAGTTTTACAGTTCGAAAATACCATAAAACAAAGCAAACACATACATAATGGAGTATTGCACAAACCCATACACACCATCAAAGATAAGGATGCACACAAGCATCTTAGGAATCGGGCAAAATGTCACTTCAGCATTATCTGTCCCTTTCTGACTCAGACTATCTACATCGCTCCTGTCTGTCCTATCACACAACATGTCAAACCTCTCTTATCTGCCCGCCTCCCTCCCCCACTTCTGTCTCCCTACCTGCTTGCTGCTCCGCATTTTTCTCTCTCTCTCTTTCTCACTCATTCTCAGCCACATGTGAGTGGAATAATGGAAGTGCCACAGCCCCCTGTCCTTTTGAAACCCACCTTAACCAAAATCTTTTCTCTCTTCTGCCAAACCCCTCAATGAGATCTGTTTAGTGCTTTGTCTTTGTGGTGTGTTTTCATTTTGACCAGAAGTGAGTCACTGAGATTTTATTACACTCATTATTTTATTCCCACAGAATGCACGATACCTACGCTGATGTGTCAAATTGCAGTTTACATCCATGTCTGTCCAGACACATATAATATGCGTAGCTAAGACGTGAAGGAATTTAATAAAAGGGTGTTTTTTGGGGGCGAAATAGAAGTTATGACTATATTGACATGTATGATTCCAGTAAATTATTTTCAGTGAGAAACATGCTGTCTTGACTTAGGGACTATTTGTGCAAAGTAGTACAGAGGGCTTTGTCACATGGTGCAACAACAGTCACTCAATATCAGCCAAACTAATGAGCTTGTGGTGGACTACCAGAGGAACAGGAGGCTGTCCTGGTTGTCATCCAGGAAGAGGAAGTGAAGAGGGTGGAATCATCAAAAAACAAAACAAACAAAAAAAACGAACTGTCAGCCCTTTGGCTCAGCCAGCAAAACTGTTTAACGACGAAATGATCAATATGTTAGCTTACCTGTTGACTATACGGTACAACTGAGACAAACAGCGGCTGCTGGGCTCAGACTGAGGCTGCTGTTCGGTTGAGCTGGTCACGTCAGATCTTGATAACTCTATCAAAGCTTTTTTCTCATTATAACAACTTTTTTGTATTATTATTACATTATTCTCGTATTATTACGACTTTATCATCGTAACATTACGACTTTTTTCTCATTATATTACGACTTTATTCTCGTAGACCTGATATTACGACTTTATTCTAGTAATATTATGTCTTCATTATCGTAATTTCCCCCAAAAAAGAAAATTTTCTCTTCGTCTGGCCCTAATACTGAGTCGTACTGAAGCCCTCTTCAAGAAGGGAGAGAAAAGACAGTTCCTGAGGAGACTCAGATCCTTTAGTGTGAGCAACAGGCTCTTGCAGATCTTCTATCAGTGTGTAGTAGCCAGTGCTCTGTTCTTCACAGCGGTGTGCTGGTGTGGAACCACCAGGTAATCCAGTTAGATACATTTATCAAAAATTAACATTCGCAGGGTCCAGCTTCTCAAAAGGATTTCCTGCTTTTCCGTTTTTGTATCACTGTAAATTCATTATCTTTGACTTTTTGACAAACACAAAGTCATCACCCTGGGTTTAGTGAAATTGGCATTTTCACCATTTCCTGAAACTGTATTGTCTAACTGAGCAACTGATTTCATAAGATAAAATAAAGACATTAATTAACAATGAAAATTATCATTTGTTGCAGCCCTACTGACCTTAAGAACCTCAACAGGGACCTGCATGCTTTGGTAATGTTGTGGGGTGCTAATGGCTGGGGTGGGTGCAGGTGGCCCAGCCATGCGATGCTGCATGTATTGCAGGGCTGCATTATGCTGCTGCTGCTGTTGCTGTAGCTGCTGCTGCCTCTCACGCTGCTCCTCTTGCTGCAGCTGGTCTCGCATCAGCTGGGGACACACACAAACATCACAGGAATGTTCATTAAAGCATTCTGACCTATAAACAGACTTTGATGGGTGTTTTTTTTGCTTTTGCTTTTTCAAGAGTGGACACAAAAAGCTGTCAGCTTGTTAGCAGAGCACAACTGGTGACTCACACATCTATTAAAATCACCCTGTAAGAAAAGTATGTACAGTAAATATATTCAAATATGCCAGAGGCCAAATAGCATGGCCAAATTTATCAGTGGAAAAAATGGTTGCCATTGCTGACATTGACCAGTGTACCTTCCTTTGGAGTAGCCACTGAATTAAACACTACAAACAGACTGTGATATGTTGTACCTGCATCCGCAGGCCGATGCGTGAGGCCATTGCTGGGGGGCGAGGGGGCAGGGGAGGGCGAGCCGACGTCAATGCACCGCAGTCCAGCCCGAGAGGTAGAGGAAGCTGTGGATGAGAGAGGGGAAAAAGTGAGATTTGGGCCAGAGGAAGGAAAGGGAGAAAAAAAAACAAGGTGAAAAAGAGGATGGATGGAGGAACAGAATTGCAGGTAAAGTTTGATGCAAAATGTAATCCTCTCTAGCAGAGGACTGAAGGGATTCCTAAACAAGAAGAGTGGCTATCAAGAGTGCATGCAGTGTAAATACTTCTCTACCTCAACTGACATACTCTCTTGGTAGAGTGTCAATGTGTAATTGTTAATAGGTACATTAGTGATAGGAAGAGAGATGTGAGAGGAGAAGGGGAAGTGTGCAATGTTTTGATGCACTTTTTTTAATATGTTAACTGAGCTGTGTCTTTGTGGTTAGGTGCTCTTTGCCTTATGTGTCAGTTTTGTCTGTGTTTCTTAAACACACAACATCATAAACGATAACCTTAGTTAATGCTAATTATGACACTACCATGTCAATTCAAGCTAAGCTAAATACGTCTTGGACCTATCACTGTCTGCACAGAGACAAAACAGATTATCATCTTACTTTGGGTAAAACAACAAACAAGCATTTTCATCATTAACAACCAGCAACTGTCAGCTCTGGGGCCATGGACTTTTCCACTTGTGCCACTCCACTTACAGGTATGCCTGAAACCTTTATCTTAATGCACCACTGGGCAAGCTGCATATTCCACTCACATGAACTGTGTCCCCACTGAATCAAACACACCCAATCAACTGTTTACAAGCAGTCTAAAAACAGGTTGACAGTTTTTACACGTTATAGTCTGTGTTAAATTCCTTATTTTTATTTATTTTACTTTTTTATATTTTTTATTATTATATATGTATGTGTTTGTCTGTTGCTTCAATTGTTAAGAAAATTGACAATAAAAATATTTTTGAGAATAAAAAAAAATAAAACAGGTTGACAGACTATTTACCACATCTATATGCCTTAGAGCACTCACTGCTACAATGTCTCTTTCTGTATGTATGAGGCCTCAAATGACTGACACTAGAATAATAATAGACTGTTTAAAGGACATGTAGTGAAACCCATGTGATGCCTGTCTGTACACAAATTTCTGAAAAACAGGCCATAAGGCTTTTCATCTTTTCAACACTTTGTCTGTGGCAGATTTTTTGCTTCTCAAATATCTTTACATATATCTTTACAGACAATTAAGATCATTGCCTATATTAAATACAGTAGGAATTGTTTTACAGGTTCAGTCTGTAACATTCAGGAGGATCTATTGGCGGAAATTGAATATAATACTCATTACTATGTTTTAATTACTGTATGATCACTTATTACAGTAATAGTTATGTATTGATACCTTAGAATGAGCCTTTTATAATTACAGACACTGCAGTCACCTTCCATGTAGTCCGCCATGTTGAAGATTGATTTATACTGAGCATGCTTTTTATGTCTGTGCTTCTACTTTTCCTGTTTTAGTATGTAGTATAAGGGTGTCCAGAATGATGATTAACTTTGTTTTCCTTTTCTTTTTATTACTGTTCTGTATGCTTATAAATTATCTTATTAACTTTGTAATTTCAATTTTATATTCTGTTTTTAGGGTGACTTTGCAATATTGGTCCAGGGACTACAGATGAAAATAACCTCTTGGCTAACTCATTTACAGCACTGTGCCTGCTAAATAAAACATCAAACAAATAAACAAATAAATAAAATACATGTATATATTGAACCATCCATAATTTGTCAATTTGCATTGGATTTAAGATCCATCCAAGAAATTACAAATCACATAACTCTGTAAATCCACCTTTGCTTTACAAACTATAATAGAAGTAATTCCCACACGTGTAGGAACATGATTTCCCTTTTTTAAATCAAGTAAGAAGAAGACAAAAAGGAAATAATAATCAAGTGGTCATGAATAAATTACAGCAATAGACATACAGGACGTAATTTAGTTCTAAATGAGCCCACTGCTTACTACGATTGACTGTGTAGTATTGCACTGAGCCCGGTTGTGCAAGTAGAGCAAACCAAAGCAAAACAAACCACATCTCCAGGCTAATATTTATACACTCTCTGTATATGACTTCACCTATAAGTTGTGTCATATTTATTCTCATGGTTGAATGAAGTTAGTAACACTCTCTGGCCCCCAACTCTGTCCTTCCAAAAAAATTTGGTGAAATGCAAAGTACTTCCTCGTTAATGTTCGAGTGGTCATGTGGGACTCATGTGGTCTTGTTGTTCTTGGGGGATCATGTGAGCAGAATGACGATGGGGAACACCCATAAACCCTTAATACCTCCTCCTCTTTTCTCTCACGCATACACACTCACAAACATTCATACATGCACACACACAGTGGGGAGTCCCAAGACTGATAGTTCCCCTTCTGCAATGACTTGTGTTCATCCCCTGAATGACTAAGCTCGTCTAGACCCACAAAGGTGCCATGATACCTATCAAAGGTTTCTTCTCTATTCACATTGTCTCTGTCGATGGTAATGTGCTGTGAGACAACTAGACACAGAGAGGCAGTGACAGGGACATTAGTGTCTCAACAACCAATCAGAATCCAATTCCTCCAGTCTCTCATCAGAAACACTGTCTGTATATGGTCATAAAGAGAGAAAGAGACAGAGAGAAAGACAGAGAGACAGAGAAAAGCTCATTGTGTGTGAGGTACAATAAGAAAGGCAGCTCCTATTGAGGACTGAAGCCGCCTGTTGTCCGAAGTGTACATTTCAGCACCCGAGGAGGCACACACTGCCCGCTTTGTGCCCATTGGATGGCCCACATGAAAAATACACACCCATGCAGAGAAACACATTGAAACACACACATTCCAACACAAACATGTACCAGAACTTGGACTGCACCCAGCAGCCTCACACCACCAAAACAGACTAAAATATTGTCATATCCATAAACAATAAGCACTAATCACATCAACGACTTTCCAATAACACTCACAACAACTGATGCTGTTGGAACAACTTTGCTCCTACTGCTAACATCTGGAGCTTTAGAGTCAGGCCTTGTTATAGTTGTCTTTCAAGGTGCTCACTTACACTGACAAACAAACAAGTGCACAAACCTAGTGGTGGAATGCTGCACAGTGTATTTATAGAGTCTGACAAATGGGGTGATTACATCTCCAAACTTAATCGGCAAGGTAGGAATGCCAGCCAGAGGAGGACGTGTGCTCTGTGCTTCGAGGGTCTAAGTATAGACAATTGATCACACTGTAAAGCCCTTTGAGGCACATTTGTGATATTAATAAAAAACACAAATTGTATTTTTTGAAATTAAATAAAAATTAATTTGAGCTTTGCCAACCATATGATGTTCCACTATAGCTTTACATGCTAAACCCAAAACCATAAAGTATATTCTGTGCATACCAATTTAACTGTCCTTCTCCAACTTCACCATAGCTGCTACTCCATAACATAACATCAGCACTGAGACAGGAGTGCTGCAAGGCAACAGTGTTATTTCAAGTAAAGTAATGCAAGAAAACATTACAGGCAATTTATTGGCCAATATTCATTTGAACTGTAATTTGAATCCCACAGCTCTGCAAAATGAAACTGCTTATGACACCAGCTGTAGCGGCTACAATGTTTACATAACACTACCTAACTTTCCAACACGTGAAGTATGTATCATATAGCCTCCAACAGTGACTAAGCCATGATACAACACATGCACAGGCACACTGATAGGATATCACTTCCTGATATCATATGGTGACACACTGCTACCAGGCAGCATGATCTCCCACATGGGCCTTCCCATTGCCTGGCATCCACTGGGGTGAGCAGGCATCTGTGACGCAGTACAAGGACACAGCTGCCATTGTGTGTCCAACGCTGTGATGTCACGTCCCCTTCACTTCAAACACTGACAGCCAGTGGGAGGATGTAGAGCGGAGGAAGCTGATGTCAGAGGTCAACTCTGGATTGTGCCACAGATTAGTCACAAATATACATGCCAACTATAAGCACACAATACACAGAATACATATAACATGCTGTGCACTGTGATGACAGCTTTAGATACATGTGCAAAGTATAACACATGCACATTTACACACACAGGCACACACACACACACACACACACACACACACACACACACTTGGGGACAGTGTGGGGCCATGGCACCTGTGCTCAGAGACATGGTGTTAATTTGTGGAGTGTGTATATTTAGAAGTGACTGTGCAATGCCAAGAAAGTATGCATTACACACATACACTCAGGTGCTCTCTCTCTCTCACAACAAAGCATGTGTGCATCCACACATATACAGCCACAGCTGCTAAACAGAATTCAAACACAATTTACAGATGCACTGAAAAAAGTGCTGTGGGACAAGTGTAGGAACAAAAATACATTTTATTTAGGATCACATGAGTTCTGCACAGCAAGTAAAAGTAGAAAGAGATCTTTCAAGGTCACACAAATTTGTGTACATGTTTGACCAAAACAGCTTAAGTTTAACCTGGACAGGCCCTGCTCTGAGACAATACCACACTAGAAATACTGTTCAAGAACTGTTTAATCTCAATCATGACAGGGTAAAGTTTTGCAAGTTTAACTCATTCTTCTTTTGTATAGTCAATGATGATTATTTTTTACACATTGATATTTTATTTCAGGTTATTACATACTTTGTCCAGCTTCCCCTTAATATCATGAAGGATCCAAATGTGACACTGCACTGTGCACTTCACCAGCCTTTCCATCGCTGCACAAACACATGCGCACTCACACAAACACACGCCCTTTCCGCATTAAGCTATCTGTCTGCCTGCTCTAATGACTAAAATAACCCCCCTTGCTCTCTGTTCTCCTTTTCAGGAACACCCTGTTCCCCTGAGCTACGGTGTATTTTTTTTCTTTTTGTTTTATGTACGTGCATGTGTGTATCTGCATGCATTTGTGCATGTATGTTTGCAGGTAGGTGGGGGTGAGAGGTGGACATGCACATAAATGGTGCACATAAAGTGCGCATGTGTACATTACAGCGTATTACAGCGTCTGTCGCTTTTAAGTAGACTCTTTCGAAACATGTAAACAGACCTAGAGTATCAATATTCCTAAAGCACTGCCACCACACACTCAACGAGCAAGGTTGGTAGGATTATGTGACAGTGCCGGCATGGCAAGAATGGGGTCCTTACCCCTTCCTCTTTGGTCTCACACACACAAACAGCTGCATCCCTTGGCAACAGAATACACCAAACTATTCTGCATCGACATGCAGACAGACAGACTGGCAGACAGAAGGACGGACAGTCATATTATTTTCAAACACTCAGGACTGGTATTCTGTTGGGTCAATTGCTGCTTTAGATATAAAAACCTTCTCGTTACCACCTCACACCTGTACTAAACACAACAGATACTATGGAGGATTTAGTTACAGCATACAGGGGTTGTGTATGCATACCAGAGTGGATGAGGTCTCATTTCTATTAAAGTCATTTAATTCAGCATTGCCTGCTGTGTTAAAGCAGGGTAGCTCCACATTCACTGAATGGGTGGATTTCTACAGTATAATATTCATAGAAGCACATTACTGCAGAGACAGACATATATAGACACATGTTCAATTACCTGTTTGAGAGGAAAAATAGTTCACAAGGAGGAATAAGCTCTGCTTATGCTGCTGACTACATGTCAGGATGCTGGACAAAGCGGATGGCAATCTGCAGGGAGGAGGTCAAGGGGCAGAGAGAGAGAGAGATGAAGAAAGGTGGTGGAGGTGTGAAAGGGAAAGGGAAACAAACAAAGACGGACAGACAAAAACAAATGAAGAACAAAAGATGATTGGTTATAAAATGGAAAACTGCAAAAATGGACAGATGGAATGAATAACTGCAACATAAAATATGTGACTGTGACTGATGTGTGAAGAGGCAACAGAGGAGGCAGTGAAGTGTTCAAGAGGGGGAAGCAGCAGGTGTGCAACACACACTGAAGAACTTAGAAAAGAGAATTTCCACGGCGGAAGCAAGGGAAGCAACAGACCATGGCTAGACCTCAGCAAAAACACATAGTGAATTGTGACAATATTATAATATACTATAATTGTTTTAAGGCTTAATTCTGTAAGTTTGTTGCTGGAGAAACCTTTGATTCAGTTGTTTAGTTTTTGTTTTTTTGCATTGCAGCGCTTTTGCAGCTGTTTAGACACATTTTTCAAATGAGTAGAGGTTAACTGCTATGACGACCCGATTTCCCTTCTGGGATTAATAAAGTCTATCTATCGATCGATCTATCGATCTATCTATCTATCTATCTATCTATGTAACGCTCAAATAAAATATTCAGAACACCGGCCCCTTTTCCTTTTGCTATATATTTTAGCATGACTGGGGTTAAGGGTTGGACTGCCACAAAATGATCAGTGCCCTTAAATCGTTAGTAAACTTAAGGTGAATAGAAACTGTGTAATTTACAGGCATAGATTACAAGAATACTGTGTCTCTAAAAATGAACATCAACAAGCATAACGTTTCTGCTCACTAACCAACTTTCTGAAGGTCATCTGAATGAATCACCACAACTCTTCAACACTGTGTGTGAATCACAATGCCTGTCACCTTCTAAACACAGTCTATATATAGCTGACCAAGAGAGACCCTTGTCCAGATTCAATCTGTCAACTCAGTGCTGTTTTCCTCGGGTTACTCTGCTTCATCAAAGGATCACAGAGCAGAGAGCAATGTGAAAAAGTAAAAGGACAACATAAGGTTATCAGCACAAACGCGCTTTCGGTCATATCTAATCAAAGTACAACACAATGAGATACAGGAAAGACAATAGACCAGAATCATCAATTATAACTACAATGAATCACTTCCCCTTTCCTTCCATTGGTTTTCACAACTCCTAGTTTTGTTAGCGGTGAAGCAACTTCCTCTGCAGGAAACCCAGGGAAATAACAAATGCTGCTTGTCTTAGCACAGTTTCTAGGACTGAGGCGTAAGTCTTTTAATGTTTTGATACTGAGAGACTCTTCTCAGACAATACTTGAAAACTCTAAAATGTAAAGTAAAAGTAAATCTTCAATCTATAGTCAGTAAGACTATTCCCTGTCTAACCAAACTGGTTAGACACATACAAGGCCATGTGGTAGACACACAACTCACATACATGTGAAAATGTGTAGAAACAGAAACACATGCAGATATTCACACTCAGATCATGGGACATACAGTGCATCAGTTAACCTGCTGTGGCACAGGTGTAGCGCTGGTAACTGATGAACTAGCACAGACACAAAAGATCTTTCAATGTATTTCTTGAAATGCAAACACTGAAGAACTGTTGTAGTAACTTTTTTCTCCACAATACCATAAAATTCTGCCTCCGCTTGGCTGCACGTAATGAACAATAATTACATTGCTAAACATTGCAGTGATGACTGTGTTTTTGAAAAGGTCAAAAAGCAGTATAAGAATCAGTTTACTGTAGATAGCAATTTAACCAATGATGCTTCTGTTGCTGTTACTGCATCTATTTAGGAACTGCACATCACTAAAAATCCTTGCAACAAACAACAAACAACAGATATCTTCAGTTTCATTTCTCATTTAACAGCATATCAGCATGAAAAGAGCTCAGATTGACAGGGTCATATCCAACAGCCAGGCAGTGAGAAGCACTGATACTGATACATATAGCACAGTATGTATGACCTTAAGATTCTTACCAGCAACTCTCCAATTATCCAAAAGACAACATATTGTATCCAAGAGAAATCTGCTCCTCCACGTGTTAATACACACAGTCACTGACAGAGACAGTTTGCTGGCTGGGCCCGACCAACTAGTGCATTCATATGCCGGTTCACTGGTTGTGACGCCACTCCTCCCTCAACCGGCTGAGTTACAGTATGCCGAGTGACAGTCACTATTAGTCACTTTCCTCCCTCCCTCTTAACTACCCGCTCAGCTTCCTATTCCTCCTCATGTTGCTCCTCCTCCCACTCTCCTCCTCTTCCCCTAAATTAGCCTGAATGCCATAGTCTGGGGTGACAACAACGAGAGCCCTGTGTCCAGTAAACTCGTCTCCCTCTGTTTTTTTTCTCTTTCACTTTAATGTGGAACTCCTCCTTCCAGCCTCCTTCCTAAAGCAGGGTGCAACGTTTACATACAGCAACACCTACACATGTGCGTGCTGAAACTTTAATAAACCCTGGAAGCAATTCCTTATTTTTTCTTCCAGGTCTTTTTCTGAGTCATGGGGCAGTGAATCAGCAAATATACTTTTTAGAAATGCACTCCCACATACTGTCACCCCCTCCCTCGGGATTGTGTATAGGCTTGTTATCTAAGCCATAACGCCTTATTTATTGTCATAGCTTTACTCACTATTAGTTATCACGCACTTATACCTCATAAAATTACATAGAAACATCCCATGGCAATACTGAAAGTCATGATCACTGCATTCGTAAGTGATTATTTAAAGGGAGTAGGAATTATACAAACAAAAAACTCAATGAATTTTGAAAAACATGCACAGGTGAAGCGACCACAGAGCCCTGAATCACAGCAGACAGCTAATGACTGACACAAATGGATCTTAGGACATTTCGGTAAGACACTTCTGATTAGTTGTGAGATTTCGCAGGTGGTTGCACAAGAATGACTATTTCTTCACGTTAAAAAGGATATTGTTTTTTTGTATGCATGGAAAAAAACACAGAATGAATAGTCTAACATTTCTGTCTGATGAATTGTTGTGGGAAAAAAAATCTTACTTATAAGTTAAGCTTGTTGTTGTTGTGCATACTATAAAACAAGAGCATATCTCAGTGGTCCTTTTAACAATCACTCTCTTTCAAAAACTGTACTGCATCTAAAGTGAAGCTACAGGACCGTATGTTTACTTCTCAGTGATTGGCTGTACAAGTGCTGTGACATGTTAGTGAGTTCAGATTAAAGAAAAACCTCCTCTGAAAAAGTGCTGTAATAAACAGCAGACGCATCGTGAAGCACTCCTCCCTCTCCTCCTTGCTTGTGCCACTCATTTTACACTTGCAGATGCAAAAAAAACACCAACAAAGATCAGTGTCTCAATATTCTCAATCAAAAAGATACAAGAACATCCCTCCAACAACAGATGGACAGACAACAAACTAGAAAACAAAGAAACAACAAAAGCTAAGATGACAACTTGCTGACTGGATCATTAAAGAAGCCTCCTAGTGGTGAGATCATACATAACAGCAGAATATTTTCCCTTTAGAGCATGAGGGAATGCTGTACATACACAGGTCCAAAATACGAGACTTTCTTTCCTTTAATCAACCAATCAGAAATGGTTTTGAGCTTGAAATCTGGACATACCACACACAAGATTCCTCCCTATTACAACTTAAACTTGACTCATCAAACTGAATACAGAGTGACAGGCTTTAAAATCAATCGGCATCTTTCTGGGTTTGTCACACATATTTCCTCACAAACATACTGTAAAGGTCACATGCAGAATGTCTATTATGTTTGTTGGATTCTTTCTGCGTGATGTGTGTGTGAGGTTTTTGCAAGAGGTGTATTGTTAATAAAACTCCATCTCAGGCCTTTCTTTCTCATTCCTGCATGTAACCCGAGTATTAGTGCCATTCCATCCATACTCTCCTATACGGCCCCCCGTCCTGTATCTCTGAATGCAGAAACACAAACACTGGTATCAAAGTGCCACTCAGATAGTTGTGCCTATCACAACAGAGGAGAACACTGGCCAGCATGGTTCAGCAGTACCCGGCTGACAAGCATCCCTTGTTTGTACACAAAGCAGTTAACAGTGGGCCAGCTCCAGTTCTCATAGTGCCCGCAGTGTATTTACTGGGTTATTTTGGTCCAGGGGCAGGACCCCTCCAGGCCCTCAGCTTATTGGTTGGGAAAACTGCGTTCCTGTCAAGTCTGGCCAATCCTAAGGCGTATGTGTAGGAGGGGAAATCATTGACCAAGACAGCCTTGTACTCTTTTGACAATGGCCTATGGAGAAGGCAGGATCCAAACACACACAGTACGTCCACACACACTCACAAACACACCACCTAAGACCCTCTCCTACTCGTCCACCGGGAAAGTGTCCCGTCGTATACTCCTTCAGTCACCATGGTTGCAAAGAGGTTGCAAACAAATACAACATACAAGACCATCATTGTAACTCTATTGAAAGTGTTGGACGACTGCGTTGATATGTCTGAGTGAAGTTTGACCCAGCTATATTAACCTAAGGCTATCTCTCTGTTAAGTAGGACAAACAGTGCTGTCAATATAGCCGACAAGTTATAGCCTGGTCCAGAGGCGATCAGTCTAACAATTCAACCATTTAAACATGGATTTGCACATAGCATTTCTAATATTTAACCATTCTGTCGGTTTGAAATGGCTTCACATCAAATGGAAATATTATAGACCTGCACACCATTTTATACACATTTTCCTCTTCATCAGCGTTAAACATTTGGTAACTTTTCATATAGAGTGCTATGCATGTAAACAATCCCTGGCCACACAAAGGTGAGTTTGCAAGTATGTATTCAAGTAAAATCTTTACGGGAAAAAAAACACTTCCTCATACTATTAACTTAAGGTAACTACTAAGTGTTACGTCATATGGCCTGAGGTGACCTCAAGTTGTGTCCATGAGTATTAAGCGTGTTTTTAATGGTTAAATGATATCACCT